CGTAGGCTCGCTGCCTAGTTGTTCTCTTTGACTCTCTTTGACCTCTCCTTCAAGCCTCATGTTCAATCTATCGCCAAATCCTGTCATTTCCATCTCAAAAACATTGCGCGCATCCGCCCCTACTTAACGCCAGATGCAACTAAGGTGTTGGTCCATTCCAATGTCATTTCTCGCCTTGACTACTGTAATCCTCTTCTCAGTGGTTTTACGTGCTCCCAACTAGTGCCGTTACAGTCCATAATGAATCCGGCGGCGAAGCTCATCTTCCTGTCCGCCCGCACCTCCCATGCCTCACCCTTCTGTCAGTCCCTACATTGGCTGCCTATAAAACATAGAGCTCAATTTAAAATTCTGGTTCTTGCTTTCAAATCTCTACATAATGCTGCTCCCACCTATCTATCCTCCCTTATACACAAGTATGTCCCGTCTAGGCCCTTACAATCTGCTGAAGATTTACGTCTATCTTCTGTCCGTACTCCCACCTCTGATGCTCGCCTTCAAGATTTCTCAAGGGCTGCACCGTTCCTGTGGAACTACTTTCCCTCCTCCGTTAGATGCTCACCCAGTCTCCACTCCTTCAAAAAATCGTTAAAAACCCACTTCTTCATAAAAGCGTATCCATTAAACTGTTAATAGCTCCTGACTGATTTCTCTTCTGCAACTGTCATTAGTCTAATACTATCCTTACCTTTTTGTGTCATTTTACCCCACTCCCTCTAGCATGTAAGCTCATTGAGCAAGGCCCTCAACCCCTCTGTTCCTGTGTGTCCAGCTTGTCTGGTTACAACTACATATCTGTTTGTCCATTGTAAAGCGCTGCAGAATTTGTCGGCGCTCTATAAATATCATAATAATAATAATAATAATTTTTGCAGGCACGGAATGTATGGATGTTTTAGAGGGTTACTTTGCAAAAGCTGATAATGAAAAGTACAAACACCTTTGTTGTCAATATTGCACATTAAAACAGGATCAAAAGGAGATAAACTATTGATTATATTTCATATTCTATTGTCTATGTCTCTGACATAAAAAGTAAACATTCCCATTGCTGTCTAATTCTTTACCTATAGCATACAATTTACTTTGACACATTATTGTATGTTTTATTGCAATATTCTAACAGTGTACATAATGAAAGTCACAGAGAGAGTAGCTAAAATAGGATAGTTTCTCTTGAAATGTCACTTAGGACAAGCTGTGACAATGACATAAACATTGTTTTTTATATAATGAAATACACAAGACTCACCCCTCCTGCAGGACCACATGGGTGCCAAATGGTCTACTTATAGACTAGTAGAAAAATGGGCTAGCCACGCAGAATTTCTTGCCTCGGGTATTGACCGTATTTCTGTTCTCAAAAATCTTTGTGAGCTCTAACAAATTCTTATGAGAGCTAATCAATCTAGCAATTATTTAAAATAGTATTAAAATTATTTTAACAGACTTTACTGTCCACTTAGTAGTGTGTATGATATGTGCGTATGAAATCAGAGTTTGCAGGAATCTATGATCTGCAAACTTTCTTTGTCTTAGGGATGAGCATAACCACCTAGCAAAGCTAGTGGGTATGCGGAAGCCTCCCGGAGTCAAATGCCAGAGCTGAAAAGCTTGCGCTGTGCATCTGCACAGCAACAGCCTTTCAGCCAATCAGGTAATCAGGAGAGCCATGCTGAGCACAGGAATCCTGATTGCCTCCGATTTTTAAAATTGGGAAACTGTGGATGGTTAGCACATCCCACGAAGTACTAAGGATAAATATTGCCCAAAGTGTATAGGAATATAATTAAACATCTAACACAAAATAAAACAATTCCAGTAGCCAATAGTACAGGGGAACAAGAACATTGTTTAATAAGTCATAAGGACATATAAGATAGACTTGGAACTTTGTATAAAACAGCTGAGCTGAAAACAAGACAACAATGTATAGCAAAGGAAAGTATCAAATGAACACTGGAACCATTCATCATAAATTGCAACAAAATAAGTTCAATAAAGAGAAAAGAAATGTTGTAACAAGTCCCAGCAAACAGATTCTTTATGCAGGGAGTCCATGAGAATATCATACTGATGAGACTACTAGCATCCAATCCTCCTACTTAGGTGGATCCTTGGTTTGTTGGTCTTGTCCTGGAGTACGGCTATAGTCTTTAAAAAACAAAACAGAGAACAGTTATCAAAAAGCTGAATAAGCACCAGATAACCTTATGTTTTAGAAAAACAAACTACCACCAGCAGGCAAAACCCTTAACTTAGAGGAGGGTGGGACGGGCGCTATTGCTAGGTGGTTATGCTCATCCCTAAGACAAAGAAAGTTTGCAGATCATAGATTCCTGCAAACTCTGATTTGTCCTCCGGGAGGCATAACCAACTAGCAAAGCTAGTGGGTAGAATAGCACACACCTGGTAGTGGTCCTAAGAATCTGAAGGCGTTCAACTTCTGATGGCCTCCAGTAAAATCTAACATAGATTTTACTGGACAGCCATCTAGTAGCTTTCAAGATAGTAGGGAGAGGAAGGCCCTTTCCTGCTGCTTTAGTAGCCGAGGCTCCCCTATTAAATGGCTTTTGAACACGGAAACATCAATACCAGCCGAAGGCATGGCGGAAAGTATCCAGCCTCAAATTGTATTAACCTTGGCTGGATGAAAGGGATTCCTTGATGTAATGAATAGTTGACTGATATAATTTCTAAATACAGCAGAAAGTTGAAGGTACGATTGTAACAAACTGACTAAACATAAGCCTGGTTCGGAAGGATTGTGAACCAAATCCAATTCTACCGGACCAGGAGAAAAGTGGGATGTTTTTGTCTGCCTTTTAGTATAATATGGAAACCTCCCGGGGTCCTGGACAACCAAGGTAACTCGGCTCCTCTAGCTGCCAGGGCCAAGGACAGCAGAGAAGCCAACTTAATAGCAGTCCATCTTAAATCAATTTTAGAATTATCCAAAGAATAAAGGAAATTTAATAAGAAGTCTACATCCCAAGTAGATGTGTAGCGTGGGGTATATGGGCGGCAGATGGATAACCTTTTAGTAATCTAAAATACAGGGCATCCTGAGTAAGGTTGGGGATCAGGAAGTTTAAAGCAGATCCATAGGTCTTGATTGAACTGACAGATAAACCAGAATGGAACTTAAGGGTAAGAAATTCTAAAGCCAATGGAACGGTATCAGATCCCTGTGTGTTCGACAGAAAAGAAACCTCCCATTCTTTGAATTCCTCGATCATCTTTCTATATCTTACCCTAGTTCTATGTCTTAAAGATGAGTTAATAATATCCAAGACCTGTTTCGATAAAAGGGGATGTGTTAACAGCCTACCAGGGCTGCGATCCACATCAACTGCGGGAGCTTGAGCAGAAGATCGCTGGTTCCCTGAAAGAAGTCCACTGTCATGCCCAATGGGATCTTGGTTCCCTTGACTAACTGGTGGATCAAGGGATAACAGGGTCTGGAGGTCCATGCTGGATAAATTAAAACTAAGCTCTGTACCCTATCCAGCACTTTCATCAGTAAAGATGGAGGGGGTAAGCATAAGGGGCTGGAACATCTGTCCATTGGAAAGACATTGCTTCTATTTTCCAAGCTCCCTTTGTCCAGGTCCGGGAGACGAACCTGGGAGTTTGTGCAGATGTTTGGGATGCAAACAGATCTACCTGTCTCTGGACAAAATTGCTTTCTATCCGTTGGAATAGAGCAATCTTTAATTGAATCGTTGCCAGGGACAAACTTTGTCGAGAGAGAGAGTCTGCAAGCTCGTTCGCCTCTGACCTTCTTGGGGAGAATGAATTTTGATTCCCAATGGCTGCTCTGTCTTAGTCGATTCCCTAAAAACAGCTGACTTCTTCTGCAAAGTAAGGGGGAATTGTTGTATGCTGGTGTTAAAGCTATTAATTTCCCGATAATCTTTGCTAGGTCTCTCAAGGACCAACTCTGGTGCCTGAGGGATGAGGTCAGATGTACCAGTAATTTGTCCCATTTGTCTTGAGGGATTCCTAGAGACATAGTCCTGGTGTTCAGTATGAAACCCAGAAAGAAGATGCTTTGAGTGGGAATTAGGACTGATTTCTGTAAATTTACTACAAATCCTAGGTCTTGTAAAAGGGAAGCAAGGTAATTCCTTTGAGAAGCAAGGACTTCCCCATCTGGGTGCATGAGCAGGATGTTGTCTAGATAGGACAGACACATGAAACCTTTTAGTCTGACATCACTGATTTCATAATTCTGGAAAATGTGTATGGTGCGTTGGATAGGCCAAACACCATAACGGTCCACTGCCACACTTTTCCTTGGGGACTGAATGTAAGGCATCTTTTAGGTCTAATTTTATGCAGAAAAAAGCTTTCTGTACTAAGCCTGGAAGATCTGATAAACTCTCCATCCTGAACCTTTTCCTTTTGATGAAAGCGTTCAGAGACCTCACGTTTCGGATCGGTCTCCAGGAACCGTCTGATTTTGGGATTGGGAGCAATGAGCTGTAATAGACATGTCTGCCAACTCTATCTTCCCTTGACTTAAAGCTAAGGAAAGGTGGCATTTAGCACTGGGTTCACCTCTCTGTGGGGTGCAAATTTCTGGACTGGGAACCTTGAAAGGGGGAGTTGTAAACCCCTTTGAAAAATCTTTAGAACCCATTTGTCTGAGGATATATCCTTCCAATTTAGTGGCATATGAGGAGGCACACTTACTTGAATGCCAGCGGGATCTGCGGATGTTTGATATATAATTAAAGGATTGGCCAATAATTAGCACCGCCCTGCCTGACGCTTTTAAAAGAGCCATCTTAGATGCCAACAGAGATGCAGAAGGTTTCTGAGCATTGGCTTCTTTTTCTGCCTTATCCAACATCAGTAATAGTAGGCCCACAGCATTAGCAATTTTGAACTGTATATTGCGAAAAGTCTGCTCTGTGGGATCAGAGGATACGCTTTGATAGATAACAGAGCAGGATCTACCTCTGGAGCCATTTAAGCCTGAATGTCCGGAATACCAATGTGGTTCCTGAGGAGATGGTCATCCTCCTTAACCAAGGGGGATCTGAAGGCTAGTTTAGCTAAATCTCTAACCTCAGAATCGTGCTCCATAGCCCATCTGGAGTGAAATAATTCTGATGGGAGAGTCTTTCCTAGGAAACTTACTCTGGCCATCTGAACATTGCTTAGCTTCCCTCGCTCAGTGGAAGCTGCTGAACGCACCACTTCCTCGAATTCCCAGTCTATTTCTGGAGAGCCGTATCTGGAACTGGAACGGCTTTGGGAGGAAGAGTGAGCGAACGTTCTAGAAGAGGAAGAAGAGGGACTATCTAACCTCCAACGACATTTGTCCTTTTTCTCTGAAAGGTGTTTCTGGTGCTCAAATGAGGGAAACACACTATTCCTTTTTTGGGGTCCTGTCCCCTTAATTTTACGCTTACTCAAACGAGTATGAGGGGAAGGAGGAGCATAAAAGTTTTCCTCAGACGAGGAACTGGCAGAAGAGACCAGCCTCCTTCCTTTATTCTTTTTACTTAAAACTGGGACCAAATCCTACTCGGAAGATGAAGAGGATAGATCCCTGGCAAGGAAAGCTCTCTTATGGAGCTTTCTAACATTGATTGGGCTGCCTTTAAGAGAGGCATCCACTAAATCTGTGGTAGACACAGAAATAGAGTCCTCCATCAATGATGCCATTTTAAAAATCTGAGGCAATCAGGATTCCCGCGCTCAGCACGGCTCTCCTGATTACCTGATTGGCTGAAATGCTGTTGCTGTGCAGATGCACAGCGCAAGCTTTTCAGCTCTGGCATTTGACTCTGGGAGGCTGCCGCATACCCACTAGCTTTGCCAGGTGGTTATGCCTCCCGGAGGACAAATAAAGTTCTTCTTGCATGCTTTGTTTATTTTATGTTTTAATTAGGGTATTCCCAGATTGTGTATTCCCCCTCACTCTACATGGAAGACAGAAGGGTTTGAAAGGGCTGAAAGAGATGCATAGATGTCTGTTAAAAGATTTATGGTACAAAATTGGTAAACCAAATAATATAGTGTTATTCCTCTCAGAAACTCTGTTAAACACTGTAAAAGGAATAGAAAAACCAAGACAGTAAAGGAAGGACAAACCGGCCCTACAGTCTGGTTGGACTAAATGGGTAATATGGAAAGAGCATATATTAGAAAAAAATAATTAATTTTGAGAAGAGATCCCGGGTTATAAAGGCCAAGAATCAAATCTCAAAACAGATTACCCATATAAGGGATCCATGCATGCGGTATTAAACACCAAATATAAATCTTTATTGAAAAAACATATACACAAAAAGTGAATATAAACAAAAGTGAACAAAATCAGGAACTGTGTAGCATGCGTATAAAAAGGGGAAAAAAACACTAAGTAGCCTGCCAGCCTCCCTTCTGAAAAAATTGGTATAAATAAATATAAATCCCCTCAAGTAAACTCCTATAATTTCAAGTTCAGAAGATACAATGTCATAAAAGGAGTGAGAGCCAACTCAGATCAATTGTTACAAAAGAGTAGCTTAAAGAGTAGCCATTAAGCTACAAAATAGCCGAATAGATACACTCTTCAAAATATATATTGAGAGGAGGAGAACGCAAGGGAGAGAGATAGAAATAGAATTCAAAATGTTTGCATGAGAACAGGTACAAAGGAACTCCTTAGTAGACATAGCGTTGGTACAGTAGAGTGGGGTAAATATATGGTGTGATTGAAAGGAATAGGAGGGTAGAAGCCTCTCATAAGTTGCCACACCAAGTTATCAAGCCCCCTCCCCCCCACTTTCTTGCAGTATCCCAATTGTAATCCACAAGCGGTATCAGCTTGGAATACTATATAATAATAATCAAGTGAATAGATACACTGTAAAATCATGGGTATTTATACGGGATACTTTTTGAGAGTTTACTATTTTAAACCCATGTTTAAATGTGCATATCTTTCAACTGATGCTTACTAAAAGACTTTTGATCACCTAACAGATGCTGGGCATCCTCACACAGTCCAGCGTCACCCAAATTCCCATAGGAAAGCATTATACCGCACATGCGCATTAGGTCTCCCCTGCTGACATCAGAAGGAGCAGAGGTGGATCCCGAGCCAGCGCTGAGGGATAGATATCGGCTCTGGACTGAGGTAAGTAACCCTTCTACACCACGAGAAAGGAGGGGGGCACTATAGGGAGCTATAGTGCCAGGAAAACATATTTGTTTTCCTGGCACTATAGTTTCCCTTTAATACAATTTTCAAAACTATTTCCAAAGATCTAAAAACTGACCTTTTTTTAGCTATTGAACAGGACTTACAGATTATAAAAATCCACTCTATTTGCCCATCACGTACTTCCTGTTTAGTCTTGGGCATTGTCCAATCAAATACTTTTCATAAAGAAGCACTAACGACAAATCTCCATTCTGAAGCTTCTTATAGGGATGTGTGACTTTGATGAAATTTGGGGATTTTAATAGGATAATTCAAGCGTTATTGTTATATTAGTTTGTGACGGTAGTAGTCAGTATCACCGTCTAGTATTCCTTTTCCCAATAGCAGAATAACTCCAATAATCCACAAGAAGAAATATTGCTGTAATCGCCAAATACTCCACACATGAGCCAAGGCTTAATGCTGGGACAAGACTGATTTTACTGGCACACGGGGCACACAATTTATGCAACACAAAACTCCTCCTCTGGGCCAGGCTAGATAATTGGGTTTGAGCAACATGCTAACCCAATTATCTGCTGGACAGAAAATTTACAGTTTTTACAATTTTTTAAAACAATACTTTCCACATCACATAGTAATATAAATTTTACATCCCTGGGTAGCTGATGGTCTGGGGAGCAACATACTTAAATTCCACAAAAATCCATTCGGTAGTTTTAGTGTCGCGTCGTGTGGAAGTTTGACTGGCTCACTGCATGCTGGTATCCGATTTGGAGTTCCATGAAATTGGGGCTAAGAGCCGGTCTCCGTTCGCATCAATTCACACAAAAACTACCAGGGTTAAAATGTCGAGAGTTCGTGGAAAGTGTTCCCCTCATTCGGTAGATTGAATTTCCCGAACGCCGTTTGTGTCAAGTTCATGGAAATAAGTCAGGCGGGACTTCCATGGGGGACCGGGTCATGCTGGAGGGCTATGCCGAAAATAGTTCCAGGCGTTCGACGCCTAAGTCCCGCTGACTGGCCGTTCGGGAGTTTAAGATGGCCGCCACCCGGGAACTCTCAATTAACTTGCGGTTTCACACGATTCTAAGTTTTAATTGCTACCCAGGGTGGTCCTCGTTCGGTAAGATAGCTATTTTACCAAACAAGGGATTTGGATGCACAGAAAATAACGAATGCACTAGTAATACAGGTAATAAATCTCACAAATACAACAGCAGGGAGGGAAGTAGTCGAATGAATTGAGGGTGATTCTTCACATAGTTGAAGTGCCTTTTTAAGTTTTAATTTTTATGTATCCATTAAAATTGTTACTTGCTATATAAAACTATCGTGGACTAAAATTTAATCAAGCTCAGCCAATCACTAAATAAATTTTTTCTGGAGTAATATTAAACATAAGCTGTTTAGCAAGTCTTTGCCTCACAAAGCTATTACATTAGAGGCATGTTTTAATTCTAGCCAGTTACAACGGTGCACCTGCATGGAGTGTGGGATTTGTTTTGGCACATTGTAAAAATTTTCTCATTATGTGATATCAATTGTGTCATTTGGGAGCAGATGATTTTGCCAACAAATGTGCATATAAATTGAATAACCATCGCTTTAAGCTATATTAACCCCTTAAGGACACATGACGGAAACATTCCGTCATGATTCCCTTTTGTTCCAGAAGTTGTGTCCTTAAGGGGGTTAAGTTCCAATTTACTCCTGTGCTAGAGCTGACTCTGTAGCTGGGGATCTCCAATACCCTGACCATCATAGTAGATTTGAGAGAATTTCTTTTATTACATCTTATGGTCTTTGTGTATTGTATTCTTTCTAATCCTGGTTCCAAAGTGCTAATTATTTTGTTTTAACTTTCTCCTTTGTTGATTTTTTGATTTTGTTTGATTTACACATAATTATTTAGTTATGTAAATGCATATCATATTGGTATTATGCCATGGTAACTAGCCATAAATACAGTGGTTATGTGCTATGATGCTTAGGCATTCCTCCAATATAAATTGTTAAGTTGCTTGGCAATGGTTTGATTTATTATATGGGGTCAGCTCATGCCCTAGGACCCAAGGTAAGTTGAAGTATCTCTATGAGCATATAGCACTGTACCAAAAATATTGTGGCTTGGCAAAACATGATAAAACTCTCCACAGTTCAAATACAAAAATTACTGTAATGCATCACCTGCACATCTCAATTGGACTTTGAGAAGCTTTTAGAGAGATTTCAACTTCCAGACCAGAACCGGTGCCATGCTAACGATATCCACAAGGTTGAAACTGCAATTTATAGTTGTTTTCTGGTTACTGATCCTTTTTGATCCTTGTCCATGCTTTGGTTTAAAAAAAGCAGTATTTAAAAATGTGTCCATTGCTCAGAGTGTCTTTAGAAATACAGTATGTAGTTTGAAACACAATGCCTGCCTGCCCTCATTTGCATGTCAAGCTGGGAATTCTGGGATAGTTCTGTAAAAATGCCCTCTATAATTTCTATGCCCAAGAAGGACTTTTAATATCCGACTTGAGATATCTAGGTTATAAATAGCAGCAATTTTTCTATTTGCACTGTTGGGAGTTTTATCATGTTTGGTCTCAACACAATCTTTTTGGTACCTCTTAAATTATATAATTCAAAAGCAAAGTCTAAAGTGTCTCAAAATAATATTGAGCATCTGTTTTTTTTTTTCTGTGAAATTCTGTGTTTCTATTATAGATTCATATGTGATCCGTGGATTGTCAGCTTTACCTTTGGTGTAGAGAGGAGTATTATAGTTTTTTTTTTATTCTCTGCATGGGTCTCAATTCCTCTCTGAATCTTCACTCTTGTCAAAGTCCCTGATTAAAAGGCTTCAGAAAAGTTTTTTTTTTTTTTATCTATTATTTCGGTTTATTTCTGTTTGAAAGGTTGCACAATTTCATTTGACTGCCTGAAGGTAAAATCCTGTCATTGAAACTGGAATTACGTACATCCCACTGTATCTTTTTACCTAGTAATTTTAACAATTTTACTTTTAATTAACAAAATGCCAAAACAATTATATGAAGGTGCATTCTTTCAATTATATACATTCTATATATATATATATATATATATATATATATATATACATACAAGCTAAAACAAAATATATAAGAAACGGAAAAAGAGCAGAAAACTCAACCAACTGCATTAGATTGTAGTAAATTTAATACAGATATTTTAATGGTTAGTTTAATGTTTGTTCCCTTTTTTTAAAACTTGTTTGATCAAAGGCTTCTTAATTTAATTCATTGACCACCAACTATGTTACTGTTATGGTAATGTACTAATTCTATTTATTTACTGAGTACAGTAAGTGCACACTTCCATGTTTCCTACATTAAACTGTAAGCTATTTCATCAATTTTGCTTATTCCAATAGACTTTACAGTTTAGTACATGAACAAAAGAGTTTCTAAATGTTTTAATGTGTTGGACCATTTCCTAGTTTGGTTGTTTAGCATCTCACCATATGAAAATAACACTCTCTCTCTTTATTACATTATGAAGAACAGAACATTTACAAATATAAAGGCATAATAAAAAAGCAGTATAATATAATAGAGGTTGTATACAGTGCAACACTGTGATGAATATGAGTTTAACAGAGACACATCTTAAGACTGTTGTAAAATAGTACATAAAGGTAAAAAGTTGTAGATTGTACATTTTAGAATTTGATTTGGTACAGACCTTGAGAGGGATGGAATAAAACTATCTGTTTAACAAACCATAACCTTACACTAAAAATAAATTTAGTAGAGACGTTGCTTGACTTCAAGTAATGCAAAGCAGATTTGTTAAGATAGAGTAACAGGATGAGGGTTTGTAACTACTGTTCCTTAAAGGACATTAAAATATTCCTGGTGGCTCCTCTAGATCAGTGGTCTCCTCTAGATCAGACCAGTCTTCATGGGCCACCAACAATCCAGGATTAATGTATTTTCCTTCTTTATTCAAATGGAGACACTGACAAAATCTGGACTGTTGGTGGTCCATGAGCCCTGGTTTGGGAACCACTGCTTTAGATAGCATAATATCTAGTGTATTTATCCTGGGTGGACAGTGATATTTCTTCCATTTGACAGGTTTGTTCCACCTTATTATCAACTTGACTAGTGCCAAGGAATTTGGATTTTTGTAGAGGGTGGTCTTTAGTGCTTTAGTCGCCAGTAGCTAGTAGGGCATAGCATTATAATGTGTTTGTGGAGCAAGAGGTTACGTTGAGTAAGGCCACAAGGGAGGCCTTAGAGGAAGTAGTTAATTTGTGGATATGAAGTAGAGTTTAGAAATGAAACAAGGTTACTTTAGGGCAAAACCAGTACTGGAAGAATGTGCTCAGAGATTAACATATTTAATAATTCATTATCTAGAGAATTTTACTTGGGCCATTTTCAGCATTTCCCATCCATCCATAGTGTCACTAGTTTCTGATATGATTTTTGATCATACAAACATAGGCCTTAATCAGAATGAATACACTTGTTTTCATTTTGATAATGCTTTCCGAGCTTTGACTGGTATTTAATTCTTGTAATCATAATCCATAAATGACTGTTATGTGCTTGTAATGCAGTAGACATTAGAACTCATTGTCAGTTTAATGTCATGCTTAATTTTTATAGTTGACACAAACTCATGATCAGTATGTCAAGATTTTGATGTTAATGACAAACAAATTAGCAATTCTTGGGCTTTGCATTTATGTTACCCTTTTTATAATGCATTACTAATGAGAATAACTGTCATGTGTAACATTAACCCGACATGTTTCAAATGAAGTGTTTGCTTTACTCAAGTCCAAAACGATTGATAATTTTTGAGGAAATCATTAAGTCATTGAAAAGTGCTTCTTAATGGTTGTCCCTTTGCTTGTTGAGTTTGATAAGTGAAACGTGGATTTGTGTTGGCAAATCTTGGTAAATGATTATGATTGCAAAAGTTCAAATGCATTATGTAAGTTTTAGGGCCTTTTCTGGCTGAACTGAAAATGACAAACATGTTGTAGAAACATTAAGAAGCTGTGATAATGTCAATAGCATCTACATGTGATGTTTATGGCTTTTCAACTATCAACATGCAGATAATTTTATCACATGACAGGAGGCTTCGTATTTTGCATAATCTTTCTTTACTAACTCCATAGTAGCAAAGAAAAGAGTGACATAACTGAGAACCAATCACAATGCAGTATAGAGTATAAGAGGTGTAACGTATGACATCATTTCCTCTTTCTTTGCTGCTCCATCACAAGATAAGTACAGACTTGGTTTCTCTGCCCTTACACTATTTGTCATATCTATTTCTGTACTATTATCTACTATCCAACTACTATTATTACCTTTGGGGACTTCCCCCTCCCACCCCTCTGGCTCTGGGACCTTTTTCTACTGCTTTTATTAGCCTAACCCTTTACAGGAAGTCTTACCGGCACTCTCGCTGTCTTCACCTATACTTCCCAGTGTCAGACCTCTTCGCGGTCTTTTCCCGCCTTAAGCATCATTCGCACGTCATTTTCGCCTCGCGAATGGCACTTTCTGTTCACCCATTCGCATAGGCTCGTTTCCTTTTCCGAACTCCTAACGTTCGGCAAAACTCCCGCAAACGCCTTGTATTAAGCGCTCGCGTTCGCGCGTATTAGCCGAATGCTAGCACCACCTATTGGCGCTCGCGTTCGGCTGATTCGTACGCATGAACGCCCGGCGCTCGTGTAATTTTTGCCGCCCTTTCATCTAGGGGAGGTACTAAACCTCCCATTTCTTACTGCTTTCAGTCCGGCGGCCATTTTAAATGGCTACTACTGTCCTGTTGCAAACTCCAGTCTATTACTACTGCCAGATACTCTGGAATACACTCCTGAACTCTGCATCCTTATTAGCTCACTGTGGGACCAGTATCAGGTTAGTGCTTTGCACTTTGGGTCGGTATCAGCCAGTTGGATTACCCTTATTCTGGCAGGGGTTAGCCCCCATTCATGTGCTGCTGTCTATGCAGGATTCCAAATTCCTGGGTGAGCCCCAGTGACAGCCCTCGCTTGACCTACCAGTCATATAATGCTTTCAGGTTAACCATTACATATTTCTATACCACCCCCTGGTCCCTAGGCCTCTCCATTTTGTGCCACAAGTGCCCTCATGCATATTCACCGGGTGAGCCCCGACTGTGATTAACAACATGGAAGAATCCCAAAATCCCTCAGATCTCCAGGCCATGATTGCAGCAGCGGTAGCTGCGTCCATGGAAAAGGCTTTGGCTAAGTCGTTCCAATTGGAACAAGACGCATCTAAGCCCATTCCCAAACGGGCTCATTATGGGGCGGATTCTGAAGACTCCGATTCCTCCAGGGAACGCTCCCACCCCCCTAAGCGCCATTGGAAAGGCGAGGCTATGGGACCACGTAAATCCAAAGGAAAGGCCCCTGCTAAATGCAGACGAGACACGAGCAGATCGTCCCAAAAACCCGCTCAGGCTTCCTCTGGGGAAGAGGACGCAGGTCCGTCACACGCTCTAGCCGTGGTTGATGAATGGCAGGCAGCTGCCTCCGACCAGGAGGAGTCCGACTGGGACTCTGCTGCCAAGTGTGACCCTTATCTCATAGGGGAACAGACCCTGGGTGAGCCCCAGGACTCCGTGGCCACAACCATGGACACCCCACAAGAGGGTTCAGAAATATTTTTGGACAATTCTGGCATCCGAATGTTCGATCCTAGGAACATTCGCCATCCCCGTTCGGAAGAATGGACGCCACCCGAACACTTGACCAGATTCATGCACTTCTGGCTCCGGAAGTCTCTGGACAAAGAAGTGAGAAAGCGTATGAGATCTGAATGTCCTCGCCCCAGCCTACCAGATAAGGAAGCACACACCCCTGAATTCGACCCCCTTATGACCACATTCATGTCCCGCGGGGGTCGGGACCCATGCAAGGGCGTTGAACATGGCTTTAAGGGAGCCCAGGACAAACTACTAGACGCCATCGGGCCATTGGCGAGGATCATGGACATGGCAGATGATGCCTATGAAAGTGAGAATGGTAGTGGATTCAGCGCTTGATGTCTCAATGGAATAGTGTAGAGTGTATAAACAGGCAGCAACCTAAAAAGACGTTCCCTCACAGTACGTCAGAGAAATGGAAATGATAAAAAAGGGGGTATTAGGTCGCGCCAATAAATAAATAAATAAATATAACAGGAAAAGGGTAGCATAATAGTTAATAAAAACTAAAAGTCTCTTCACATAAAACACATGTAAAAAGTGAATAAAGTACTTACAAATGGCAATATAAACATGAAATGGATAAACAGTCCTAAAAATGAGCAGGGAATAGTGCCGTCCGCTTGAAGGGAGGAAACAGTCCTGATAAAATTGAAGAAATGGATGGAGTATCTTGTTCCAGGTGGCAATATGCAAAAGAAAATAGGGAGAGGAAAATCCAATAGTGCAGAGTGTATCTTCCGCTTATTTATGGAGATTCGAAGTGAAAAAGCATCACACTCACCTATAATAGAGCTAAAACTAGCTCGGGTGTATTTCGCATTCAGTAGTACTGGTCCCCCACTGGTGGGATATAGACGAATGTGCGTGGCAGAGATCCTCGGGAGAGAAGAGAATAACACAGAATAGTGCTCACTGTATCAATGCGGTAGTTATATAAAAGTAAAGTATATATAAAATACTCACATTTGGGTGAGCAGGAAATACTGCTCACTTTTATAGCGTAGGTGGTATCATCCCCAACTGACTGGCAGCTCCTCCCTGTGTTTCCCAGCACTGTATCCACTACCTCTGCACACAGCAGCTGCTCAAAGGTCTTTGAGGGGTTCCTGGCGAACCGAGGATTTATCGCAGTAAACTAGGGAGCTCCTATGGGACTCATGGGCGCCAGGAACAAGGAGGTGCTACTTATCAGCATGGCACTGCTGGACAACTTGGTGTCTGGGACGGGATCTCAATCTCTTTACGGCACCTATTCCCTCCATCATGAATTTCCTCACCTCTCTGTTCACAGCCGGGAAGTCATACCAATCCATCAACGTGATACGTTCAGCCATCTCAGCAGCTCATACGCTGACTCAAGGGACACCAGCCATGGACGTTGGCATAGTCTTACAGTTTTTACAGGACTGGCCTCCTAACGAGAACTTATCACTCCACCAGCTTACGGCAAAGTTCACCTTCCTACTCTGCCTAGTCTCCTTTCGTCGGGTGACCGATGTACGCGCTTTTGATGCCGACGCATTTACCTTTTGCCCAGCAGGAGTAACCTTCCAGGTCTCTAGGCGCACGATATCTGACTCTTCCTCTGTTTTTTACCCCTTTTTTCCCTCAGACCCTCAGCTCTGTGTGGTCTCTACCCTTCGTCGATACGTGGAAGCCACCGCGACGTTGCGGCCTACTTCCAATCGTCAACTTCTCATCTCTTACATCCGCCCCTACGCTCCAGTCTCGGTTACTATGTTGGCCAGATGGGTTAGATGGCTATTAGCCCTTGCCGGGATAGACCAGGCTTTTGGAGCACACTCAGTTCGAGGGGCCGCGGCCTCTTCCGCCTATGCGGCAGAGGCCTCCCTTCAAGATATTTTACGAGCGGCGGACTGGACTAGAGAATCCACCTTTAGGACGTTCTACATCGAATCCAGCTTTTGCTCTACTTTCTCAGCATTGAAATTGCCAAATACGAAGCCTCCTGTCATGTGATAAAAGATTATGCTAGCTTTAGTGTGCAGATAATCTTAATTTTAATAATGACAGAAGGCGAGTATTTTCCCTCCCTGCTCTCTTTCGCTCTTCCCCCCTCTGTCTTCATGTATATTTCTATCTCTTTATTCACATGTTATTATTGTGCTAATGCCTAAGTTGGTTTTTCTCACACTTAATACAGATATACCATATGGGTGGGATGGTTTAGTTAGCATCAATAGATGGGAGGAATGTATTTGCTCTATTGCAATAATGATGGTTTACTTAATCATAGGAGATAGACAGCTCATTGTTTTTACACAACCATATCTGGAGTTTAATACCCTTTACATTCTCGTTTCAGTTTAACCAGATGAATCAGGACACTAAAGACTCCTTTCAAGATGTCAACATTGTCTTGTCATGGATGATCGTCACTTGACATCAATAACTCTTCCCTGGGAGTCTGTTTATGTTCAATTTTCATGTTATAAGTTATCTTTATTGTTATTCTGCATTGTGATCTTGTGATGTTGCATGCCTTAAGAGGAAATTATGTCATACGTTACACCTTTTATACTCTATACTCTATACTGCATTGTGATTGGTTAAAGTGCAATCTAGATCATCACATGATGCAAGATTAATTAGGGGTTAACAACCCATCAATTAAATTTCCATTAATAGAATATATTTACTCCTTCATAGACATGTTCTTGTATATAAACAATTAGGCATGTTTTATTTGAAACATGGGATGCATAGCTAGTGCACACATGTAGAATAAGACACTTGCTTTGTGCATATATCCTATTTTAGATATACCTACATATTTAAGCTATATAATGTTAGAATTACATTATTCAGTTGTCCATCATTAATCTTTTTTTTTTTCATTTTGACAATTTGTATTGTTTTTCAAGAGATACATATAACGTAGGATATAGAACATCAATCAAAACATATCTTTGGTGTTTGTCTGGTATAAAGTGAAAGTTGCTATAACTTAAATGTATAGGAATTCAGAAATGTCAAATCCCTTGGAGAGGTGGCAATATAAAAAATATTCTTGGAAGATCAGAGATGGAATGGGTATTTAACTTACAAACTCTAACGCCCCAAGGTTTAAATGTAGATTTCGATTTATTTAATTTTCTATAATTTTAATTAATTAATTTTAATCTTTTCTTTTTTATATTATAGTGCTTTTATTTAAATTTCTTTTACTTATTTCTGGATTTTATCAACTTGTCTTCCCCCTGCCGTCTGGCTATGGGCACTATGATTAGTAATGCCCCCAACATGACTGTATTTTTATGATGTACAGATATATAAAAATATACTTTTGTGACTTTATGTTTACATACTTTTATATATTTTTTACCCACTTTTGTTTATAATCTTCTATTTTTAGAAAATATACATATGTGTAAGTTAAATTTATTAACTCATTGAGGGTATCTCTTAAACATTCATATTTTTTATATATTTCTTATATATTTCAATTAACTATTTATATTTATTATTAACACCCTCCCCCCAAGCTGCCTTTTTAACATATATTTTATTTGTACTGTTGTTATATTCTTAAGTTCATTTTTTTTTTCTAATACTACATTTCCCATAATGTCTGTGGCTCCGGTCACGTGACCCGCGGATAGTACTTTGTTGTGACGCCGCGGGTCACGCGACGTAGCCCGAACCCGCCCTGCCGCTCGTGCGTGCCACCCTCTCCATGGGACGGCCACACGGACTTACTTCAAGTAGGAGTGTAGTAGGCGGTCACGTGACCCGTGCACTACAGCTCCCAAGGTGCATTGCGCGTCACGTGATGCGCCCAAATTATTTCTTTTTATTTTATTTTATATCCTATTATGCCATCCTCATTTTTAATGCATATTAACACACATACATTTGTATATTTGAATCTATCTATGTAATATATCATTTTTATCTTTTGTACACTGTATACTCAATTTACACTTTGAACAGCCCTGATTGGCAGACGTTTTTTTGGCGCTAATTTCGAATTATTGAACTAGCTATATATACTCCTTATGTGTCAGGTTATTAATATCATTCCAATTTGATAAAGCCATTGTGGCGAAACGCGTTATTGGTTTTAATATATTGTATCATTAATAAATTATTTCATATTATTACTTCTCTATACAATTTTATTTCTATTTATTTTTCCTGGCATTCTACATATCCTTAGGTGGGGATCATACCACCCACGCTATCATCAGAGTGCAGACAGGCCTGCACTCCACTTGTGAGTACATTTTATTTTATTTCAACTTATTTTTATATTACGTCACCAGAGAGCACTATTGGCTGTTTTTATCTCTTTTCCTTTGAGAATTGGACACCAGCACTCTCCAGGAGGACAAGCACCCCTATAAGTTGAGAGTTATCCGCTGTATGCCCGTTACACTAGAGCTGGCCTTAGCTCATGGAAATGTGAGTGTGGAGTTTATATTTTAATTTCATGGGTATTTATTTATACACTCTGCACGATTGGTCTTTTCCCATTGTGTCTTTCATATCGTGAGACGGACTACTTCCAACAGAAAAGACATTACACCAGTTGAGACAACAACTAAAGATAGATATTGGGACTTTTTATATACATTTTATATTACATGTTTAATTTTTAAATCACATATAATTTATTTGTGTAAATTTATCTACTTCCCTTGGTGCAGCCTTCCTTTGTTTTTACTTTTCTTGTTATTCTGCATTGTGATCTTGTGATGTCTCATGCTTTAAAGAGGAAATGATGTCATACGTTACACCTCTTATACTCTATAC